GCGGCCCACCGGGAAATTTCCCGGTATCCCGGTGGGCCAGTCCGGCCCTGATTGCTTCCTCCTATCTTGATTTTCGTTTCGTCTGCTTTTCATTAATGTAAATGTATTTTTATTTTTTAAAGTGGTATCCTTCAATTTGTTCTGAATTTCAATTTGAGATTCTTTCTAGCATTTGGTTCAGCAGATGGATATGGAAGTCTCAGATTCCTCTAATTCTGATTCTTCCCCACTAAACAAAAGATCACAACCTAAGTCTTATAGGTAAGCCATGTTTTTTTCTGGTTTGTTTTCTCTAACATTTAAAAAGAGTGTGGATCACTGATACACTGTTCTGTCCCTGTTTCTGCAGTTCTAAGGGGACTAGAGATTTAATGTCGTCCAACGGGAAGTCGTCCAAAAGGACGCAATGTGAATCCTGTGATAACAGAGCCCTGGATGGGAAACATCTGTGGCTGCAGACCCATCTCAATGGTAGTCCTCCATCCAACCTGTGCATGACATATTGCTGTATATTTCACAAGCAGTCGCTCAGGGCATTCAGGAAGCTGGGAAGTCCCGCAAGTGACCAAGGTGTTTGGAACCTACTGAGTGTTCTCCAGACGTCTCTGATGTAGAGTGTATGTCTATGGAATCCCTGAGAGATCTGGGTTCTACTTCTGAGAATGTGGTGCTTCCAGCTCCAGATTTCCTGGAACCTCCTGAAATTGACCATTTGATATTCAGAATCAGATCGCGGATTTCCTCAGCAGACCCAGATCTGAGAGAGTGGTCTTTGTCAGACAATGTGTTCCGAATGATAGTGGACAGGTGGGGCCTTCCTCAACTGGAGTGTTTCTTCACGAAGGACAACAATCTCTAGCCATGGGGAGGGACTCCCTTTCCGGCAACTGGCGATTTCGAGATGGGTATGCTTTTCCCCTTATTTTTCCCATTCTAAGGAGAATATGGATGGTATGCATCTCCCTCATACTCATAGCCCCGTTTTGGCCGTGCAGACCCTGGTTTCCTCTCCTGCAGAGCCTTTGTGTAGAGCCACCTTGGACTCTTCCAAGAATCCCAGACCTTCTGTGTCAATGTCCTGTTCTCCACTCAGACCCTTCCTCCCTCAACCTGATGGCATGGAGGTTGAAAGGGAAAGGCTGATGAATAAGGGCTTCTCTCATGCGGTGGTAGACGCCCTGATCAGGGCTAGGAAACGTTCCACTTCTAACGCATACTATGGAATCTGGGACATTTTCTCTTCCTGGGCTTCCTCGAGGGATGTCTCGATCCAGAATCCTTTGACAGGAAACATCTTTCTTCAGTCCGGCCTCGAGAAGGGTCTGAGCTACAACACCTTGAAGATTCATCTATCTGCCTTGTCAGCTTTAACTAACCAAAAATGGGCCTTTGATTCGGACGTTGCCAGGTTTCTTAAAGCTGTACTAAAAATCAGAACTCAGATTAAGCCATTCGCTCCACCTTGAGACTTGCCTATGGTTCTCCAAACTCTAAAGTTTCACCCCTTTGAACCCTTTGATTCCGTGCCTTTTCATTTCCTCTCCGTTAAAACTGCCTTACTGGTGGCTTTGGTCTCGGAACTTCATGCTCTGTCGGTAAAGGAGCCTTTCACAGTCTTCCATAAGGACAGGGTCGTCCTTCCAACTATTCCAAAATTTCAGCCTAAGGTCACCTCCGCCTTTCATATTAATGAGGAAATTGTTCTCCCAGCTCTGCATCCGGTTTCACAAGTAGATGGTGATGACAGAGATCTTTCCTCCTTGGTTTTGGTAAGATGCCTCAAGATGCCTCAGAATGTACATTGACAGAACAGCCCCTTGGCGTTCATCTCCAGGCCTCTTTGTCCTTTTGTAACCAATGTAGAAAGGGCAGTCAGGCTCCTAAATCAGCAGATGGATTGTATCAGCCATCATCCAAGCTTATCAGGACTCGAAAGCTCCAGTCCCGCATGGACTCAAAGCTCATCCCACGAGATCCCTTTCCTCCTCTTGGGCCTCCTCTGCCAAGGTCTCTCCTGAGCTGCTTTGTAGTGCTGCCACTTGGTTCTCTGCCAATACTTTCATCAGACATTACCAAGTAAATGTTGGAGCCGGTTATTCGGACCAATTTGCTAAAAGTGTCCTTTCTGTGTGAAACCCTTGATTTCTGAAGTCTTGGTGTTTGTCACTTGGTTTGTGGTACCAATACACTTTGCATATGATATTTCAGAGTCTGTGGTTTCTTTATTTATTATTCCCTCCCTTGGTTATTTCTTGAGTATTACCCATTGTTGTGCTGACATGGATATGGCCAGGAAAAAGGAAAATGTATCCATACTTACCGTAATTTTCTTTTCCTGATCATATGCCATGGCAGCACAAAGATCCCACCCTGGGATATTGCTAGTAACAATACTGAGGGAGGAGGGGATAGAAGGAGGTACTTATACATTTATTTTAATTAGTTCCTGTCTAATTAGGGATAGGGAGGAGCTACCCATCATTGTGCTGCCATGGCATTTGACCAGGAAAAGAAAATTACAGTAAGTATGGATAAATTTTCCTTTATATTTTGCAAAAGTTATGCAACCAGTAGGTCATCTCCCAGTATTAAAATTGCTCTTAGGCTAAAACCCTGACTACAGTGGATAATAGAGGTACCCATCCAGCCCTTGCTTATTTAGAAGTGGTGAATAATATAGATCAGGTAGCACAGAAACCACTAACCTATGTCTGTGAGGGCAATTATAAGGTTACATTACTAACTCTTTACTTACATATCAGGAGAAGAGAGCAGTGGTTGATCCTCAGCTCTATTATTTTAACAAGCTAATAATTATCTTGGAAGGTTTTGCATTAGGAAACTTAAATTACAGAGTTTTAAATCAAGTGGTCCATTTCACCAAGGTAATAATATAGTGAATCAAGATAAACTGCAGTGAGAACTAAATTCCTTTTTGTTTGATGAAATAATTATATCAGCTGTCTCTAAGGTTAAGTGTATTAATCCAATACTAACTTTAACGATACACAAGTTTCTGACTCCAGTTTTGAAAATCAACAGTTGGGTAAAGAGACTATTACTGACGTGTTCACAAAGCAAATAGAGGATTATATATATTATATTTTCTCTGTTTCAGAATGTGTGATATAGGAATAGTTTGCATTTATTTATGCAAACCTGAGAAATTATAAAACACAAGATTTGATTCTAGTGGTAACATAAAAGAACAAAATGGAAACATATATTACCCAGTATATATTCTTCAGAATCAGAATCAACTATAACCCTTATTTGATTGTAGACTGTAATTGTGAGCTCCCATTAGAAGGCACTCTGGACAGGGAAGCATGGTGCAGGTCCCATTCTGCACTCTAACCTTTGTAATGATGTAAAGTTGCTTAGCAATTTAGTTACATAATACCACAACTTAAGGAAAGAAATTTAGCATCTTTATTGTCCTTCTGCTGAAGAACAATCTCTTTTCTTCAGGTCTAAATTGATTACCTTTTCTCATTTTTATAGTCCTATTAAAGGACAGGTAACCATAGTGCTGCTTGTACTGACCATATACATATTTCTTTAATGTTATCTCTTCTGTGACACTTTTCTCTTCAAGTTCAACTTTTATTTTTATTTCATAACTAAAACATTACATCATAAATGGTGTTGTTCAATTCTGAACTTAGTTTAATAATATCAATCTTTAACACAGTCAAATCATTTGAATTACACTGCAGAAAAGTTATATTCTGCTCACACTAAACTAACTTCACTAGTTTTCTGTCATCTGGAAATATTGACAGATGACTTAAAGGTTTTATTCTAGGCCCCAATAATACTTGCATTTAATGCAATAATGACTTTGATTTGATAGTTTTTTTAAATGTTTATTTTATTTGCAGAATGCTTCAGCATACGCCTACTTCTTCACCTACACTCCATTACTTCAGAAAAATACTTATTTATCAAGTGTATGCGCACAGCTAAGCCACTGACAGTGATGAATCTATACTACAAAACAACCTGCATTAGAAGGAGAGGGCACCCAGGGAGTAAGGATATCACTGCTTGTTTACAATTTTTCTGTCTGCATAGGGTATGAATTAAAAGCATATTAATGTAGCCAATATCTATCAAATGCATTAACGTTGTATTGGTGCCCTGAGTCCCTTTAAGATGCCCATTGCAAGATAATTAATAAACAGATTAAGTAGAAGTGGACTCGGAACAGAGCTCTGAAGGACTCATATGATCAACACCATTATCTACACTTTCAGTGACTGTAGAGGGTGAATACCACCTAGTTCTGTGGGTTGTTTACATGCATTATTTACTTGCTGTAACACTTTGTCTTCTGTCATTCGAACAAAACAATGTTTGTAGCAGTAATTTACATAATTAGAGCCATAATTCCTTCACTATACACAGAAGAAAAGTATGTACAATTTTTGGTTTCTTGCTCATCTTAATTTAGTAATACATCGATCTCTAATTTCAGTGAACCAACACTTTTTATTCTTGAGTTTAGTTTTTTTTCTACTTTAACACATCTAATTGCTTATTTGCAAGCATGTTTGTCATCCTTATGCACCTGACTCATTTTACATAAATGTTTTATATGCTTTTGCTTTTTCTTTATTTTCTGATCATATTGCTTTGAATGTGTTATAGAAATGTAGAAACATAGAAACAAAGAATGTGACGGCAGATAAGAACCATTCGGCCATTCCCGTCTGCCCAATTTTCTAAATACTTTCATTATTCCCTGGCCTTATCTTATCCTGCAATCCATCAACCAGTTTAGTAGCCCTTCACTGAAGCCTCCCTAAAGTATCAATATCCTTCTGGAGATATGGTC